TGGAGGCACTTGGGAGGCAGAGGCAGACAGATCTCTGTGTTGGAGGCCACCCTGGTCAATAGAGCAAATACCAGGGCAACCAGGACTACACTGAGAAATCATGTCTCAAAGAAAAAGGAGAAATAAAGAGAGAGAGAGAGAGAGAGAGAGAGAGAGAGAAGAAGAAGAAGAAGAGAAAAAAGAAACAAAAGAAAAGAGCATAATAATGCCAGATATGGTGGCACACGTGTTTAATCCCTGCATTTGGGAATCAGAGGCAGGAGGATATCTGTAAGTTTGAGCCTAGCATGGTCTACATAGCATAACCCATGCCAAGAATGCATAATGAGATGCTATCTCAAAAAATCAAAGGAGAAAACCAAAAGAACATAGTGCTGATGATATATCTACAGCATACAGATTGAGCAAATCACACGGCAAATATGATAAATGCACCATATTATAACTTCATGAAGAGAGCAAAGCAATGCTTTTAATGTTTTTATTTTACATTGTATTAGATATTCTAGAAAATAGAGGAAATAAAGAAGGTGTTTAGATTGCAAATTTTAAAAAAGTAAAATTGTCAATCAGGTGGTGGTGGCACATGCCTTTAGACCCAGCTCTCAGGAGGAAAAAGCAGTCAGATTTCTGAGTTCGAGGCTAGCCTACAGACAGAGTTCCAGGACAGACAGGGCTACACAGAGAAATCCTGTCTTCAAAAACTAAAAATTCATTAAATTGTTTCTATTTGTAAGCTGATATGAATGATGATCTTAGAGTACATACTAGAATAAATAAAAGTTCAACACATATGCACATGAACATTGTGTTTCTCTGTATTTAGATCAAAGTGCTTAAAATAATTTTTAAGTACCACTTGTACTGGAATAAAAACATGAAATAAATCAAGGTTGAACCTGAACAAGAGATGTAGGAATGCCTACTGAAAATGTAAAACATTCTGGAAGAAACCGAAGATTTGAATAAATAAGAGATGAACTGATTTTATAGTTTCGGAGAATCGTATTGTTAACAATCCTGCCTCTTAAATGATCTCTGAAGTTCATTAAAATCTGGGCAGATCTCACTCCACCTTGGATAGAAACTGACAAGCAAAACCTAAAGTGACAGAAACTAAAAATCCTGGATTCCAGAAATGATGCTGAAGAAATTTTGAAGGATCAGACATATCAGCTCCCATACTGGGTCAGAAGTGTGCAGTCAAGGCAGGTCCAGAGAGAAAAGCAGAGGTCAAGAAAACAAGTTGGAGACTTCAGAAGACACACATGTACACAATTGATTGAATTTTGACAAAGATGAAAAAACCTATTTATTCTATAAAGATGATCTTTTAAACAAAATGTATAGGAACCATTGGAATGTGTGTGTGTGCGTATGTTTATGGTGTGTGTAAGTGTGTGTGTGTGTGTGGTGTGCACATTAGTGTGTGTGCTTGCGTGTGCATGTATGTGTATGTGGTGTACATGCATGCGTGTATGTATGGTGTGTGCACCTGCGTGTGCATGTGTATGTGTGTGAGTGTATGTCTGGTGCATGTATGTGTGTGTGAATGTATGTGTGAGTATGTGTGTGTAGTATGTGTGCTTTTGTGTGCATGCATATGTATGTGAGTGTGTGTGTAGAAGGAAAATCGGAGAGACTGCAGAGAGCTGTGACATGGATGTCATAGCATGTACAGCAACTAGCTCAAAATAGACCAGAGGCCTAGATGTAAACCTTAAAGCTATAAAACATTTAAAAGAGAAGGTAGAAAAGAAATCCTTGTGGCCTTAAACTAATCAACTCATGTGACAGCAAAAGCAACATCTTTTAAAAATATTAAATTGGGCCGGGCAGTGGTGGTGCTCACCTTTAATTCTAGCACTTGGGAGGCAGAGGCAGGCAGATCTCTATGAGTTCGAGGCCAACCTGGTCTACAAAGTGAGTTCCAGGACAGCTAGAGCTGTTACATAGAGAAACCCTGTCTCGAAAAACTAATACATACAAATAATACATACATATATAGATATATTATATAAAGATATTACATATGTATACACACACACACTAAATACATAAATAGTAAACAATTTCAAAAGAAAACTAAAGTTCACCATGAAGAGGCAGTCCCTAGAATGTGATTTCTACTCCACTGTGGTCAGAATTTCTGCTACATTGTCTAATATCATCCATTCACTTATTCATTCATTTATTCCTCCACCAAATGTGTATCTGTGACAGGATTTTAAAATACAAGGCTTAAACAGTAAATTTATTTGAGCAAGTGTGTATAGCTGTGGTTTATGTATTACATGAATCCCTACTAAAGTTAAATGCAGAATTCTGACATCTGGGTGGTTTGATTTTATTTGACATATTATCCTTTAAAAAAGTGCCAAATGCCTCCACGAACTTCTGTATCTGGAGTACAGAAATATTAATGAAATTGAGTTCTTGTTTTGAGAACTAAATTTTCTGAGTTGTATCATTTGGTGTGTGAATTCCTGAGTGCAGCGGGAATGGAGGCCACTGCCCAGCCCAGCCCAGCCCAGCCCAGCCATCTCTTATTCCGGGATTTCTATTTCTTCATATACAAAGCTCTAGTTGAAGATTTATTTACTTTTTTCTCCTCCGGCAAGGAAGATTCCTGTCCTTTTTAATTTCCTTTTCTTGGGCATGTTACAAATATCCTCCCTGGTTTCTTTGGATCTATTGTAGCGGAGCCAATTCTTCATTCTCTCTTCCTCTCACCTGCTTCTACCTGCTTATTTGTGTATAGGATGTCAAAGGAAAGCCAAAGGCAACACCTCACAATGCCATTTGAAAAAAACAAAAATGCCAACACATTCTTTTCTGCACCTGAAGCTTTTAATTCTTTAATCCATCGTGGAATGTTGCTTAATTACATATTTTATTATGCAGAACTGAGACTGATGTACTTTAGTTTCCAAAATGATCTGAAAGCACAGGCTGTTTTAAAGAGAAGTTGGTTTGCTCTGGTTTTTCTCTTACACATATTTGTGGGGTTCTCCTGGGGTTTGCTATTACTACTTGACTTTTTGAAAATTCTCAGAAAGCTCTGGAGAAAAAAAATTTAAGTTTCCTCTAGAAATAAGATTCATTACTTGGCAAAAATGTAACATGCTGTTGCCGTATTGTGGGCAAATACATGAGTCAGCTAAGCTCCTTTTGTTGATACTTTGTTTTAATTTCAGTGAATTTCATAAAGTATTAATAGAAAAATGTTAAATTTGTTAAGGATGGCTCTAGAGTTCATTTGCTTTTCTTTCCCATGCTTTCTTTGCGGGTTTTGTTTGTTTTTTCTTTTTTCTTCATTCTTTTTTGTTTCCATTTTTTAAAATTTATTTATTTATTTATTAAAGATTTCTGCCTCCGCCTCCCATTTCCCTCCCCCTCCCCCAATCTACTCCCCCTCCCTCATCAGCCCAAGAGCAGTCAGGGTTCCTTGCCCTGTGGGAAGTCCAAGGGCCTTCCACCTCCTTCCAGGTCTAGTAAGGTGAGCATCCAAACGGCCTAGGCTCCCACAAAGCCAGTACGTGCAGTAGGATCAAAACCCAGTGCCATTGTTCTTGACTTCTCAGTAGTCCTCATTGTCCGCTATGTTCAGCGAGTCCGGTTTTGTCCCATGTTTTTTCAGACCCAGTCTAGCTGGCCTTGGTGAGTTCCCGATAGAACATCCCCATTGTCTCAGTGTGTGGGTGCACCTCTCGCGGTCCTGAGTTCCTTGCTCGTGCTCTCTCTCCTCCTGCTCCTGATTTGTTTGTTTTTTCAAGACAGGATTTCTCTGTAGCTTTGGAACCTGTCCTGGGACTAGCTCCTGTAGATCAGGCTGGCCTTGAACTCACAGAGATCCACCTGCCCTTGCCTCCTGAGTTCTGGGATTAAAGGCGTGCGCCACCACCACCACCACCACCACCACCACCACCACCACCCAGCTACTTTTTTTTTTCCTGCAATTTTCCTAATAGTTAATGAAAAAAATGATGTGTTTAGCTCTCATGCATATGAAGGCAGCAGAACTTGAGGTTATTATTCCAGGGAGAAACATACTTGATTTACATCAGTGTTCAACTTTCTCTTTTAGCAAAACACATGTTGCTTTGTATCCATGTAAGAACTGAATCGCAGTGTGTTTGAAAAATTTATTGAGAAAATGGAAGAACTGGATTTGAGGTTAATGTGACCACTTTGTAGCTGGGCAAGTCAGTTAACCTATTTGAGCTTTCCTTGTTTGCTTGTCTTTGAAGAGGGGATGTTAGTGTCTGCTCTAAGTGCCTCCTAGTGGGATGGAGAGCTTTAAATGAGACACTGTGGTGTCTTATAAAATGAAGAACTCTTTAAATGTTGCTGTTTAAGCACACTGAGGGACAATGCCAGCAGAGGCCTCAGCAGGTAGTTAAAAGTGCAAACAAGTGGGGGGGGGGGGACACTTGCCCCGCATGGAGATGCTGATCAACAGTCTGCCCTGAACAGAATGCTCCAGAGGAATGCATTGACACACACCTTTAAGTACGCGCACTTGAACATCACCTAGCAGGCAGTGTCAGATCTCTCAGGAGAGGAAAACCAGATAGCAATAGACATCACTTCTTTCTTCGAAGATGGTAGGGCTTGATTAAAGACTGTCACTAGAATGAAGACTTATCTGAATGCGTTTCTTACTGAGCTCTCAGTAAAGAAATAATGTTCAGCATTTAACTTGGTGCAAAAGAGATCGTTTTGCAGTTTCTCTGCTCTTTCCTTGCACACACCCCACCGCATCTTCCACTAGCCACCATTAAAGACAAGTCCAAGCCACGTGCTTTGGCTACAGTTAGGTGTATTAGCAGCTGGAAGTGGCCCTCAGGAAAAGATGACTTTATCCTCATCTTTGACACGAGGATTAGGTGTGAATGTTAGTAGTGTTCTTTTCATAAAGTTACATGTGCTGTGTGCATGTGTGTAAATACACACCCACATAGAGGAACAGAAGAAAGGCTTAACAATGCTGCTCGCATTTTAAACATTAATTCCAAACTATTTTATTAACATGGATTAATATGGTATTGTTAAACAGGTATCGTATTCTTGACAAACACCTTTCACCACATTTCGTTTGAGGGCACTTTATATCAAAAATTGTGCGTATTAGTAGATTGTAGCTCAACTTTCGTCTAAAGACATGCAAGTATCCACTATTTACATTTAGAGAATTTTTCAGAAGGAGCACTGAGAATTCCTTCCACTAACGTTTTGGATGGCTCCTGCTTTGGAGCTGCTGTTCCCACCCTGCCATCCACATTCTGGCTGGCGTTAGCACAGTAGACTCATCCCCGTTGCTATAATACAGGCCATACACATTTTAATTGCTCTTGTTGAAAATATCACCAGGCAGTTCATAGTATCTCATTTATTGAAAATATTGTGACAATCAAGGATCTTGTCATCAGCCACATGTGAACAATTGGGACTACGGAAGAATTAGATATAGTATGTGTGGGACACTTTGTCAGGACACTCCTGAACCGCTGGAATTTTTTCTACTCAAGCTATGTAGTTCAGATAAGCATAGTCAACTATAGATACTACTAGGGGTGGACGCCAGCTCAGAAGGTCTTCGTACTACTAAACACCAGTCAATACACATTTTGTACATATGTACAGACTTTGTTACGAAGTGCAACACAGTAGGGCACACGCATTTTCACAGGTGACGTGTCAGCCCTGCATGTTGTGTGGCAGGAAGATACGATCAACATCATTTTTTTTTGCATAATATGCAAGTATTATATGGCCACAGAGTGTCATACAAATTAGTGGCAAAGTGCTGAGTGAAGGGATCCATGACAGACTCGGATGCACACAGCTAAGTATTACTCGTAAACTACCTGACTCTGCTAAGTCTTAACCGCACGAAGCACTATGTCATGCCCAGTGTGTAAACATCTCCGGAATACCGGGACACAATGAAGCTTGTTAAAGAAATAATCAATAGCCGTAAGCAGCAGGAAGAAGAGAGACGTGGGTTACAATGACACTGGGGGAGCAACATGGGTTACTAGGAGACATCTTCCAAAATGTGCGGTTTTCAACAATTCTGCACACTCCATCATGGCCCCATTTGCTAACATGTGCTTTATCGTAAAATAACAAAACCATGCAGACCATAAATGTAAAAGATCTGATAATTTTGCTGGCACAATGGTGTTGCTTTCCAACACAGTCATTTCCTAGGAGAGATCATCCCAAATACTACCAAATTCTATACCTATTTGATGTCCTAAGTATGGGGCTGTTTAAAATGAAATAATAAAAAAAAAGACATCAATTTCTCTGATCCTCTGCTGACTCTTTTAACTTGGGGAAGAGGAGGACGTGGGCGACAATTTTTAGTTAGTGAAATGCTATTTATTTTTAAACATTTGAAATTTAGCTTACAGTATCCTGATTCAAATGCCTTTGGTTCACGTGATTACTTTTCTGAACTCCAGCAAACAAGGTAGTTTGCATTGTTTTCTCACCTAACAGAAAGAACTGAAATTAGCTTTCAACAGGCAGCAGCTTTTTTTTTCATGCACAATACCCCTTGCTTGCACCGGGCCTGCCACAGGGGTGCGGCACAGCAGTTGAGAAGATGGCGTTCGGGTTCCAGCAGGGTTACTCTTCCTTTCTTCATGTAGATACATTTTGACAAAGGAGGCCAAATGAACTCAAGGTATTGTACCTTCCCTACTTTTATCATGTGTCAAATAAATCTAAACAAAACACCCCCTCCCCCAGAATGCTTAATATGAAGGGTTCTCACAGGTCCGGTTGTTCCCTTATTTATATTATTAATGATATTGAAAAACACACCCCATCTTAAAGAAAACTACTGCCATAATTGGAGGATCGTGAGAAAAAAGCAGATATAGCCATTCCAAGTACTTAATTCTAGAGTAATTCATGTTTCTGTTGGAGTCTTTGTCCTGTATAGTGAGCAAAACTAATTATCATCTGCATTGTGAAATTTCATACCTGCTTAAAACTGAGCATGTGTGACTTGAACTTGGTGATCCGGGTGAGTGTGCAGTAGTTCTTTTACAGGTTATCAAGAGCATGCGTGCACCTACACGACACACCGCCCTTGAGCTTGGTCACATAAGCAGACGAACCCTGCCATGGCATACCATACAAACAATTTTAATCGTGTAGTTACAGTCATAACCACTCCTAATAAGCACATTTCTGCATAAAGAAAATTGTGATACACTTATAAAAACAGCAGCTGTAACAAAATAGCTGGTGTTTTCATAGTCATAAACTCATAAAAAAGAAATACACCTTTATACAGAAATTTTATACAGATGTCGCTTTAAAATTGATTGTAAACCAAAGGAAGACACATTGCAAACATCAATTATTTTCACATTAATTGCATAATTTTCTAAGGTGATCTATTAGTTTTATTTACCTAAGCTTATTTGCATGATAGTAAAAATTGCATACCACACAGAGTGAAGCTTCTAGAGTGAATTGCTCGGATAACAGACTTTTATAGGCAACTGTGTAAAGCACATTTCTCTATTTAAACTTTTAAGACACTTTGTTTTACTGCCCATCAAAATACAGTTATAAATAGAAAGGAAAACAGTATGGTAACAAGAGAAGCAACATTACATTTAACAGAAACTTCCAGAAACTTAATTACAACATGATGCTGCAGGATCTACAAATAAATAACGAGGACTAAACTGTGTTTCACATTTTCTTTTCCTTAAAAAAAAATCATGTAACAATTAATTATGTAACAATGAGAATGAAAAAAAAATTACAGTGAACTTTTATTTCCAAAATAAAAAAACAGATTTTAATTACGGCAGTGCCATATACTACAAGGCATTTGTTGGCATATGTCATCTTTAAACTGCAGTCCACAGTCTATAGTTCTTTTTTAACATACAATCGAGTAACAAACTTTTTTTTCCTTTTCTCTTTAAAATAAGGGGCCAGTTTCCAAAGACCAGTGTGGAGTGTCACAGAAATAATTAAAGGAAAGGCAATCATAATCACAGAAGTTATAATGCTTATTTGAGGCTCCAGAATAATATTAATTAAAAGGAAAACCAATCTCTGGTATCATGCTGACAGGGTGCGCACACACGCAGTGCAACCCTTGAACACAAATTCTGCCATCAGACAACCCTTGACGCTTCACTGGGGCTGCCATGCAGTCCGGGAAAACAGTAACCTTTCGTGCTGCCATGTTCTTCCAACTTCCTGTTTGTGCAAGTTTCTGAAGATTCATCAGCCAAACAATAAACTATGAACGCTTTCTGAGTGAACACAAGATGGACTTTTCATTTTGTTAGTAAATACCAGTGGTACAGCTGAAACAAAAATTCTCAGTCTTTCAAGTCGGCGTTAATGTCTGTGCTCCCTTCCACGGACAGCTCTCCCTCCAGCTTCACGGAGAAGAGGGTGTTGGCGTTTTTATCCTGGACGCTCTCTTCCAAATCCTTCAGCAGCTCCTCTTCTTTGTATTCCGCCACATCCACCTCCAAGCCGGAGTTGTCCTTCAGCTTGCCATGGTGCTTGAGATAGTACCGCTGGTTCTGAAAGAACTTGATGATGGTGTACTTGGGCAGGTCGAGCTGCGCAGACAGAGTCTGGATGGCCTCTTCATCCGGGTACAGACCCACGTCCTGGATGAAGCTCTGAAGAATCCCCAGGGCTTCCACAGAAATTTTGGTTCGTGGCCTGGTCTTCTGCCGGTTTTCCTCATCGGACTCTGCAGACGAAGCCACCGTGGGCTGCCGTGGAGGCAGCCTGGGGCCTGCCTGGGGCTGGGGCTGCGGCTGAGGAGGAGGTGGCGGCTGCTGCTGTTGCTGCTGCTGTTGCTGCTGCTGCAAAAACCAAATAGGCAAACAGTCAGAGCTGCTCGGAGCCCAGAGCCCGTTGCAGTGGCAGGGGGTGCTTGCCAAGCCCGCGGTGTCTGAGAAAGAGTAAGCCAGCTAAACAGCCCACAGCCTTTATTAAATAAACAAATACACATCTGAGCTGGGTGCTGGGCTTGGAGGGCTACTGTGCTCACCTATCAGCTATCTGTGGAGACAAACAGCTGGGGAAAATGTGAACCCCGCTCTCTCTCAGAACGACTCTCACCGAAGGCAGCCAGCAAAGCACGTCATGGCATTAATTAACAAAGACTTTATAGAAAGATCCTTCTTGGATTCCAGAGAGGACGTCAGAAGGCTGAGCTACCCAGCCACGGGGAAAGCGGTGTGCCTGGCCATGCTGCGTCTTATGGCTGTACCCAGGAGGCCACCACAGCTGTGGCTTCCCCCTCATCCTGCACACTTCTTGGAGATGAAAGGATTTGCCAGTTTCAAGTCAGTCTCAGCCTCCCTCTCTCTTTCTCTTTCTCTCTCTCTTTCTCTCTCTCTCTCTCTCTCTCTCTCTCTCTCACACACACACACACACTTTACCAAACTGCACTAAGCTAACACTACATTTTTTTCCTTACCCCCACCAATGAAGGTTCACTGCATTCCACGCCAGCTGGCAAACTGTTTTGTCTACAGTAAACTACGATGTGGTTAGGCTTTACATTTAATGTATACAGACACTTTTTCATAATTAGTATCTACGTATGTGCTGTAATTCCTGTACACAATCACACATAACCAATGTGTGGCATGTATCTACTGCACACTCAACACCCATAATTCTTATCAGCCAAGCCAATCAACCCTGGTGCTCAGACCGCAATGTATTAGAACATTTGTCCTGTGCTTAAGCATTTCCTCTTATCCCCCTAAGAAGCAATTTTATTAAAAACAATTTACATTTTCAAACAAGTACTATTTTTATTACTTAACATACATCTTTCTTGTCTTTGTTTTAGCTGAAACGGTTGGTTTTTCAGGCTTTCACAATTATTTTAGTGCTTAATATCCTAAGGGATTCTCTTTCTCAATTTGTTTTATCTTTAATAAATACTCAAGGATTTTTTTTTCCTGGTGGATTGATAACTCTATTATTTTAGCTACAGATATCTGTATTTTTCACAGACAGCAATACCAGGAAGGATTGTGGGTGATTCAACAAAGATGCCAAGCAGGTTTCTGGGGCCCTAGAGGTAATGGCATTTCCCTTAAAAAAGGAAGCTTAAAACAACCTTCAAATTTATCAGCAATAAGTTACACAGCTTAAATTCAACCAGAGCATGCTGTTTAATTCTGAAGCCACTAGAGCCCCGCTATGTGGTCTGGTCCACAACCCTTTAATCGAGTTCTTCAGGAGCAGGAGGAGGCTCTCACAGAGGCCGTGCCCACACTGGCTACATCAAGCACAGGCTATGTGCTAGCACTGTGGGCTCTGGCCAGAGCCATGGCCGTTCTAGCCTTGTCCTTTGCACAGCTGAAAACTCTGGCTGAGGGAGCTGGTCTTCACAACATCTCTTTTCCCCCTTTCTCCTGGCATAGGAAACTGGTGCCGGCTCACCTGAGGAGCAGCACTGGGCCATGGTGCGGGGGTCAGCAGGCCTGGTAGGGAAGCGCATCTACTCTCTCCTTTGCCAAGGGTGCTGGGAGAGGGGCTCTAAGGAAAGACAAACAGACATGACTTGCCCTGTCCTGCCCTGGGGTGGATGGGAAGGTGTATGAGGTTAAGGCAGGATGAGGAGTATAAAGCAAGATGGGTTTCCCTCCCCTTCGCTGCGGACAGAATCCACGGGATAAAATGTGTGTCTGTCCTCTAACCTCCAGGGCAGGATGGTTTTAATTAGGAGGTAATGTTTTAAATTTGAATTTTTAGAAAACACACCAAAAGATAGATTCTAGACTTTCATAATCAAAACCCAGGACTAACCAAGACCCCCTTATTGCAGTCCAGAAGGGGGTCAGGACAGTGTTTATCCCCCTTCTATCTGGAGCGAGATGGCAGTGTGCTGCTGGCCCCGGCAGAAAGCCTACAGGTAGACTGTGGGAAGAGGAGAATCACTAATTCCCTGCAAAGTTGAAGGCATTGTTTATTTAGTGGTGTATGGAACTGGCCAAGGTGAACGAACCTGAATCTGTTCTGCTGGAACATGGATGATGTGGGGCGGCCTGTCGCCATGGTGATGCACAGCATTGCTCTCCTGCTCATAGATGGCATCACGCTCAGACTGAGGAAGACTAAGGAACCGTCGGATCATGGACAGGTTCTCCCACAGGGTCCTGTTTTCTGGAGAAGGATCTTCTTTCCAGCGTAAGAGCTCACACAACCATCCCTTAGGAGGAAAGATGGCAGGTCGGTTAGTGCTGGGCTGGACTCTTTCACAGATGCGAAAACAGAAGCTCCGATAGTCAATAACTTTCCACCCACTCATCACACTCCAATTTGCTTTAACATTTCTTCTTTTAATCCATTAAGGGAGGATAGATGTAGCTATGGGGAAGCAGGCTCCATTTCTGAGGATGTTCAGATTTATATCTTCATGGGGAGATGGCTTAGTGGGTATGAGTGTATTCTGTAGCAACAAAGATCTGCGCTTGGGTCACCAGAACCCATTAAAAAAGCCTGTTACCTGCCACCCCGGTGACACACACACACTAGTGCCGCAGGCAAGCTTGGGCATGAATATAGTTGGTTTTATTATCACTGACATTAGGAGATTTTGTCAACAAGGAACTCATTTTTTACAACATGATACTGCTGATTATTTTAATTTTTATGCACTGATGTACTTTTTTAATGCATGCATGCTCTGTCTGCATGTCTGCCTGCACAACAGAGGACATCAGATCCCACTGTTCATGGTTGTGAGCCACCATGTGGTTGCTGGGAAACTGAACTCAGGACTTCTAGAATGGCAAGCAGAGCCATCTCTCCAGGGAACCACAGCTTTCTGCTTTTCTGTCAGAGGTGGCAGAGGTAGAGGACTTGTTAGGCAAGAACTTCAGTAAGTTTTCATGGTAAAGAGCGAAGGGCAAACTCAGTCAAGGCCCCAGTCTGATCCTGTGTGGTCATGACATTTTCACTGGCTGAATGGCTCAATAGTGGATACTTACCATCCCCTCGAACTTTCATCCCATCTGCCCTACTGGAAGGAAAGAGGGAGGGACGGCGTCCAGCTGGAGCCCACCAGCCTAGACTGCCACCCTCTCAAACTACTCCACAGCTTGCTGACAGCTCACTGGACTGTCCAGAGACATCTGACCTGCACACACTACAAGTCCCTGGCCCCATCCCCCAGTCTCCCCTGTGACTGGCATGCAGACTGTACCACAGACAGCACTCCCCATCTGTGCACACTCCAGGGATGATCTCCTCATCCTCCACACAAACTTCTACCTGAGGCCATCCCATGTCCTTTCCCTCCCTGTTCTCCCTTACTCCTTTTGGGGAGGAAACCCCAAGGCACATACACTATTCCCCATGTGGGACTCTGCTTTGGGGAAACTGCTATAAAATAAAGGGCTTTCTTGGAAATCTCCAGAAAGGTAGCTGGATAGGACAATACCTTGATTATGCGAATTTTAGATCTATCTAGAGAGGGTTCTGCTTTTTATGTTACTGACAATTGCATGTCTTTCTTTCTCTTTTCAAAATGAACAAGCCAATCAAAAGAGACTTCTATACGTGATAATGGTGAACGAGAACAAGGCCTTCTTCTCCGGAACTGGTCTGAGAGACTGTCTGTGAGACCGCAGAAGGAGTGGGTCAGAACACTCACGACCCTGGGTGTTATTCAGGCTTTACTGCTGCTTTGTTTTCTTTTACACCAGGGTTGTACACACACAAGCAAGTACCTCTAAGAAAGTTTGAGCCTTTAACAGTTGTGTTTAATTAAGCAAATACACACACACATATGTTTATGTGTGTGTATATATGTGAATGCTCACATATCTGTGTGTATATATACACACACAAACAAATAAATGTTATGTGTGTGTATATATATGTGAATTCTCACATATCTGTGTGTATATACATACATATAAACGTTCAGTGTGTATAAATATATGTGAATGTTCACGTATCTGTGTATACACACACATATATGAATGGTCATGTGATAACGCTCTCATTCAATGTCACACACAATTCAAGATGAGAAGGAGCAGTACACTAAAGAGTTAATCTGAAAGAATAGCAACTAAAAAGGGAAAAAAAAACCCAATCTCTGCTTTGATGACCGAGCCCTGGCACTGTTTCTCACCTGACCGGACCCTTGCACATATGTTCAGACTGCTGTGAAATGCCAGAACTGGGCTCTACTTGAGAGAACAGAACATAAATGACAAAGCTGACCTTGCGTGTTTACAGTGTTGGAGACACGCCTGCTCTGGAAATATTATTTAGTTTGGATGCATAAACTCTTGCTATCTGGAGCAAGTCATAAAAATGTCATCTACTTTCCTAGGTCCAAGGTATTTCCTTCCCATGTCTCTAAACGTTGTTACAGGATAGACTTTAGCTGTGCACTCGCCCCGGACTCGTGAGTATGAACTGATAGCTACCTTTCCTGACTACTTGTCCGCATCCTTCGTCTGTGACCTCTAACACAACCTGGATGCCTGGAAACATGGCCTTATTTCCTTCCCTGAGAAGTAAGAAGGCTCGAGAAGACAGAGGAGAGATCTTCTAACTTAGCTGGTCCCTGTGAGTACTCAACACTGAGCTGCTATCATGTTAATTATTTCAGAAATAAATTTCTTAGATATAAATGCAAGTAGCTGAAAATTGCCAAGAGTTAAATTAAGAATGATTCATGCCAGAAGAGCTTGGAGAGCTGAAAACCTCACCGAATCCTTCGGAAACTTCTGTAAGCAAGGCAGAGATCACTTGGTGATCGGATGCAAGTGAAAAACATGTGGATCACAGATGTTCTTTGGAAGAGAAAATCATTAGTTCTTTTAAAACAGCTAATAATGACAGCTTATTCCTAAATAATCACACTCACGTGGGGCTAGCAAACATTTCAGAAAGAAAACTGACTCACTGAACAAACACCTTGTCTCTGCTGTCACTTCTGTGCGTCCACGCTTCCCAGACAGATCCTTACTTTTATTAATTGCCCATGACTAACATAACACTTCCAGTACTTTGTGATTAACCCCTGCCCTTAAATAATACTTCTAATTCCTTATCTAAAACAATGTGAGGAATCAGTAGCTGAAGCATGTTTCCGCCTCTCGGAGACAGGACAGGCTGCAGTGACTAGAATCAGACGCTTCACACATGAATATCTGGCGGTGCGCGTCTGAGACTGCCAGAGCTCTACAGGGTGTTCAGAAAACGAGGAAGAAAGAAAATGGGTCGTGCTTGTCTGATCTCTTAAATGATGGGAAACACACATTTTTGATACCTTGTTTTTTCTTTTATCACAACAGAAATAGACTGATAAACTCCCAGTTAGGATTGGCAATAATCTGTTTTTACACTAAATACCTTGGAGTACTGTGGCTAGCTCAAGTTCTGTTGCTTTTCACTCCGTCAGGAATCTATGATTTGAAGAAAGGAACTAAGGAGGACACAAATGCCTCTAATTCTCCCATCCCATTTCTTAGGTCAGTCCCCTAACCGTCAGAATGAATGTGTCTGGTAGGGCGATGAGCAGGCCTGAAGGCTGCTGACATCACACAGATAAAACTGTGTAGGGGGAGGGAGGTAAGAACGAGATGCAAGGCTTTGTTGTAAAATGTGAACTTTATCCTTTCAGGGTGAGTCTCTGGGACTTGCTGTACAACCAGAGGCAGGAGGATCAGGGAACCACTCTTACAATTAAATGAGATCACAGCTCTCTGAACAGTGGAAAAGACGGGGGCCTAAGAAGCCTTTATCAATGGGACCAAGAGGTTCTCAGAAAACTCAAATGGCACAAGAACAACCTGAAGTTAACTGTAGTGAATTTGCCAAGGGCCATCACACTGCATCTAATGGGGGCAAATATAAACAGTAGCCACACGGAAATAAATCAGTGCGACTTTCAGGATGCTACTACTTTTCAAACTGACAAAGTTTAATTTGACACCTTCTGTTCCAAATCCTTTGTTTCTATTCAAAATCACGCCTTGAGCTGTTGCTATCAATCACAGCACTCTCTATTACTTAAAAAAAAAAAAAAAGGAAGAAAGAAAGAAAAAAAACTGGCATGGACCCCGAATAAGCTGAAAATGCCATGCAGATAAATTCTGAGATAATATGTTCAAACCTGTTATATACAACACAAATCCTGTAAAGTTATGTATTGTAAACCTACATTTATTGAGAACTAAAAGTCTTAAATCCATCTGCCACAAAGGAAATACTGTTATGTACTTTATAGTAACCAACAGCCATCTGCAAATGTCTTGCTACCGTAAGCAAGAAAGCGGGGATGGGGGGGGATAGCGTGCCGGCGGGAAGGAGGAACATCTTTCTGACTGGTTTTGGTTTGGGATCTAATAAGGAAGTGTAAGAATGGGGGAGAAACAGGAAAGAGAAAAAGCAGAGTGACTGCCAAACCCGTGTTAACAAAAATCAAAACAAACTCCGTGACAACACAATGGCAGTTTATTATGGTCCACGAAACACACGACTGTATGCTCATTTTAAAGGAAAAATTAGCAGTTCCAAACTCAATATTCTAATGATGTGCTTGCTGACAGAATCTTGTTGTGCCACATTTAAATAAAAATCCTGGCACCTCCATCTCTCAGCTGCTAACTTCCAACCATACTCAATCTCTGATTTCCATGCCATTCTTTAGAGCAGCGAGTTCAAGTCAATTCAATGCTGACATTTAACACAGAAGGGTACCCAGTGATTCTGCGGCAGGAAACCAATGTCCTGTGAGAAATACATGCTGTACCTGCGAATCCTCACATGCACAAAGATGCATACAATGCCTGCTTTGGGATGAAGCTGGGAGTTCCAAAGACAACTAGTTTCCAAGGGGATATAATATTGTGTGGGGGGGCACTTAATGCAATATGCATATGTATATAATGCCATTATGTACATATACATTTTAAAACTAAGAGCTATAAAGAGAGAAAGAAAAATGACATGATTTCCTGCTGCATCTAAGAAAAAAAATACATTAAAATCGAATGGTAATTTGAGTTCTAAACGGCAAAACATTTTAAAACCTGTATCCACGCACCTCACCCTCATCTTTATGTGTTATTTGCGGGAGTATTTTCTTCCAATCTCTGGGGCATATCGTCTAATATATGATATTAAAAGAAATCAATCTAAATAGGAAAGTATTTGATACAAACATTTTAGTGCAAAGCATGAATT